CGGTATGTCAGCGCCGATCGGGCCTTAGGGTACATGGTCACAGCCGTACTCAACTGTGGATGGCAGAAAGCCTGTTAACTAGGTTAAATATAATATTTTCGGATGTTCTCCATGGTTATGTTCACTTTTGACTCTAGATTTACATCTGTTATGACTTGATTCGTTCAGTGTCGTCGATTCTTGGATGTAAGTTTTCCTAGGCCCGGCTGACTAGAACCCTACCTTGTTCTCGCAACTCGTGTTAGATCTAGGTCCAGGAGTGCCGAGAATGGATTGTCTTATGTCGGGTTTTAAGGGCTCTTAATGTGGTCAGGAAGTAGCAGATGTGGGTCCCCTGCGCGAACCTATTTTAAAGGTGTAACTTAACTGTAGCACTATCGTATGCGTCCATTCTGATAGAATATATTACAACTATAGTTCCAACTGGGTTAGTTTTCAATAATGAGACTAAGATATTTATCTTCTTTCTTTATCCAATTTTCATACTACGAGGGAACTACGAGTCGGTATCCAGGTATAAGACGACGCGTGCACGCGACGAAGGTGACCTCCGACAGCATCCAACGAATCTTACAGCTGGGTTCCTGATAGTTCTAATATTAAGAAGTTATGTATAACATTAATTTCAATCATAAGCATGTAAACATTGTAACAGAAACATTATTATAACAAAGAGCAAAATCCAAGTTTCTTGCCCGTATCTTCTTGGTCGTAGATAGGGTTCCGAACGGGTGGTAGAGTCATTTAATATTAAATTCATTTAAACCACATAACGAATCGAATAACGCTGCTCACGTAATAAAACCGAAAATAAATAACTTCATTTGCGGCTCAATCCTTGTTTTATTTCTTACTACTATTTCCTAGATAATAATCAAGTAGGCTTCATATTTTGCAGTAGGTTATTTCTTAGGTATTAATCGTAACAACGTAGAGTCCTAGACGATCACTTGGCCATCACAACGACATATATACGTAAGCATTAGATAGGGATAGTTAGGTCTGTGTTACGACCGTCTGTCGTCACTCAGTGTAGGTTATGTAGGGTTAGGGTTAGGGATGTTACCTTACTAGTGCTTTTCTTTGTGTACAAAAAGAATGAACGTGGGTTATTCGCGCGAACCTGTACCCCATTAAGAGAGTAGAGTTGCTGCAGGTTCTGGCCTCGGGGCGATCTCCTTAGCCACGTCAACTCCAGAGGCAAAAACCGCTGGAGTTATATTATACATAGATATGCCTATGGACAGGAAATTTAAATTATAAATAAATTTATTACGCTATAGGGATGATATGTATAGCTTAACGTAACTTAGTTGCTAGAGTCATATTTGTTTTTTTATTTTTATGCATTTTTCTATTCATATTTTTTTATTGTGTGATATACATATGAGATATAGATCATACATATACGGTTCAGATATTTTTCTATATACACAAAAATCTATATTTATGTCTATGAGTCATCTCATATCCATAATACACGTTCGTTTAGTTTAGACCTATTTAGTAACGAGCAAGCTGTCCAAAGTTATTGATTACAAAAAAATGTAAGTATATGAATACTTACATTTTTTTGACATACGACATACGAAAATATTATATTTCACTAAAGAATTCTGAGACAACTATATCACTATTGGTCCGTGGCATGTTATACAGCGTATATATAGGAATATTTTTTAACAAGAAATGTTAAAAAGGCATTTCAACAGCAAAAGAATTTTTAAATTCTAACAAGTAGTTCGAAAACAAACTATTCAGCTTTATTATTGTAGATATAAAGCAGAAATTTAATTATTTCAGTTTTATCTGTCTAGCACTTCCTTTTATAATAAAGTTTCCTTTAGTAATAAAAGAAGTACCTATTGTTCTTAATAATAATTTAATTCGTTGTTAATAGGAAAAATGTACTAGAAGCCTGACGAGGAAAAATAATAGAGAAATTGTTCATAATACTTTTACAGTAAGCAAATATAATTTACGAACTATTTCTTATAATATAATATTTTCTTATATGTGTCTTATTAAAATATTATTTTATGTAGATAGACACAATAAATATATATTGTACTTTGTATTACTGTAGTACGCTCGTAACGAAGTAATGAATTATTTATGAGTATTATGAATAAAAAAAATCAAACTTTCTTTCTTATGTAGTTCATAAGAAAGAAAGTTTGATTTTTTTTAACGAGATAGACTTTCCCGTCTATTTCTTTCGCCAGATTATTTGCTTTATAATATATTTCATTTGTAAGGTGAGATAAAGCAGAGAAATTATAGGGTATTCTTATTCTTTAACATTACTTCTCCGGAATTGCAACGCATAAGTCATATAATGGATGGTGATGTTAAGTCTAGAGAACGCAATGTAAATAAATCATTAGGCAGTACTTATTTGATGGAGAGGTACTCTTATGAATGATAATGGAATGGTGCACCTGTCTGCGCTAACGGTTTATGCTGGCGGGGCACCAGTGGAGGACGATAAGATGAGCACAAGGTTAGGTCGGTTAGCCCATCGTGGTAAATTCACTATGAATTTATTACGATGGTTTTTGGGGGGGAACGGCGTGGAGATTAACCTGACATGATACATGCAATGGGGTTTCACATTACTAATAATCCCCTTGTCTCCAAGTAGAGCTGGTTATATGAAAGTATTTGTGTAAAATATGTCTGATATGCGTGATTGATTATATAGACGATGCATGTGTTATAACCCTATTATATTATTTACTTATTTGATACGCTCTTGTCAGAACGGCCTTGGTCATTATGTAGTGGAGTGAGAGACTGATGTCATCCGCCTTATGACAGCTCGCCATTTCTCCCTACTGGCTGCCATTCTACTATACTAGAGGGGACCGCCTACCGCTGCGCTGCTTTGACTTGGTCGGTCCATCGCATGTATGATCGTCCACGAAGTCTAGTACCGTCAACCCTACTCTGTATGACAAGCCGCTCTATGGATGAGTTTCTTCTTGCTTTTTTTTCGGACTACTCTAATGCTGTTTCCCGCAGCTGGCTTTTACAGTTTCATCGGACAATAGTGGGCGAGTGCAAATGGTACTCCAAACCCTCGAAAGGACTTATGGAGCGGCTCCCACTTGATAGATACGACTTTAGTCTAAGGGCACCGCTAAGGGTTTGAATCTCGGCTCAGGCCATCGTAATTTTGATCCCCGTGAATTAGACGGGGGATCGATTGAAGGGGACAGGTAAGGATGCGTGATTGTGTTAAAGTAGATAAACGCTACTTGATACCGAACTCTTCAAGAATGGAGACATATGATTACAACTTTATAGGCTTAAGTATTTAGAACTATCATGTAATATGTTTTTGTATCTAGTAAACCGTAAAACCGCTCCGAGCCGTGCCACACGCGGCTGATTCCCAGGCTTATTGTTCAGTTATAAACAGGGTTGGATTACGGATCACTGACTTCTTGATATCCGGAGATATCTCGCCCACAACACTGAATCTCCGTCCTTTATGGTAATAATATTATTTCAACCCTCACCATGGAAATGAGTAGTACCTTTACATTATGTTTCTGTTGTATTTTAATTCGGTGGCCACGCAGTTCGAGTTTTAATTAAACAATAACAACGTTTTTGATATTTTAAAGTAATAACTACTAATTTTAACGTATCATTTAGTTAAAATGTGGGAAGTTTACAATTAAACTATATTGTTCTGTACGTATTAAGCGATATTTCTTTGATTATTAATTACTAGTTACTCGCCTTGACTTCGCACAGGTGTACATGTATTATATATATAAACCTCCCTCTTGAATCACTCTATCTATTAAAACTGCTTCAAAATCCGCTGCGTAGTTTTAAAGATTTAAGCATACATAGTGACAGACAGCTACAGCGACTTTGTTTAATACTATGTCATAATAGTGATGATGATAATTATGATTATAAAGGAAAGTTTTTGTTGATGAAGCAAAATGTAAAAAAATGTTAAATTATAGAAATTACGTGCATTCAATTTTTATTCACAAATATTTAAGTCGAAAAAAGAAGATTTAGGACATCTTCATTGATGTCCTAAATCTTCACTGCCTCTTCTATATAAAAAAACGGATCTAGTATATTAATATTGTTTTGCAATTATTTTATTTTTCATAATACTTCTATTGTAAAAACTAAAATAAGATAAAAGTAAGAATTAAAATTAATAAATACATATACAAATATTAGGTAGTCATTATGCCTAGTTTTCATTTTAACCTAATTCTTAATATTACTTTCCTAATTATTATTTTTTAACACAGTGTGATTACTATTCATACATCATTATTGATGTGAATTAAATACGAGATTCTCAAAGTAATGTTTTAAATGTATTTCATTATAAGAAACATGTAACAATCAATGAATAATTAAATTATTGGATATCACTAGGGGTCTGTGGTCTGATTCGATCTCAGAACTCGCCGCAGTCCACCGCGACCGAGCGTCCGGACGTTCCAGTGACTAAGCCAATTGTGTCTTTAGGGTTGCCAATACTTATTACTAAATGTGATGAAGTTTTATTGAATTCGCCATAATTCGTGAATTGATCTAATTTCCTTTCCATATCATTCATTATCCACTGGGTTCGCGTATACCTACTAGTCTAAAATATATTCAATAAATAATCATATAAAAAATAATAGTGTTTTATTTGTATGACGACCTCGGTGGTCTAGCACAGCGCCTTATTTTCAACAGTTGCGGGTTCGATACACGGCACAAATATTTATATTCATGATTATGATTGTAGGTATCGATCTGGAAGTTTTCTATATATTTGTTAGTTATCTAGTACCCAAAACACAAGGTTTAGGTAGTTGAATTTGGGACTAGATGTTGTCCTGGAATGATTATTATTATGTTTCAGTTGAATTATTTATCAGTTTTTTAAATTGAAATAACTAATCAAATTGAACGGTATGTAATAATAAAATAATATGTGGTGCGTTACCGTAAAGTCCCATAAGAATATTTTATCATTTCAGTTTGATCCATTAAACAACATAATGTACATATGCAATAAATAATGTACATATAGTTTACACATATTTACTTTCACATTTATATGACTTTATTTATTACAAAGAAATGTAACGATGACAGATAAGAAAGTTGGGATTTGTGCGTCGTATTTCATAATGCCCTGAGTTTCTGACGTTATGACCTCCCCTGTTCTAACGCCTACGTTCCGTAATAGCTTTAGTATGATATCTCTAGGGAGACTGTGCTTGAATCACGCAGTTGTTCGTGTAGCAGTCTGCAAAGTAAATCATGTATTTAAATTTGAATAGTATACGCTGAAAGACAAAGGAAAATATGTATAAGGATTTTAAAGAGCAGACTATATTATAACCGTCTGAAGAAATAACTAAACAGCTGTATTAGGAGAAATAAAATGATTTCTTCTAATAGTAATAAATAATAATATTTTATTTAATCCGTACTCTTTGACATTGTATGGCATGATAACTTTTCTGTACTTACTTAATAGCACTAAGATTTCAATTATACCTATATATAAAATACATGTAAAAAGTCATCTATATATGTACTTCAGTCTCAGTATTTTAGTCGCCAAGCAGCTTGCTTTGTAAGCTTTGATGGTAATGTTTTGGTTTTAGAGTATAATTAGAGACTGTGAAATTACAGGATCAGTGGCATGAGGTTTCAATTCCCAGGAATAGCAACGTATGAGCGATATCACTGTCCATTGTGCTGTTATTTAATTATTTATAGGTTGTGTATATGAGAGGTTAACTGTTAAATATATAATTAGATATGGACATTGTAATTGTAAATTCAATTATTATTACTGTTTGCGCCACAACTAGTTTAAATGCACATTTCGTGTAATAGACAAGGAAAGACATATTCACGATCTAGGGCCGAAAGGAGCCGAGTACACTCGCACCACCGCTGGGAAAAAAAAGATGGCGATTTCTGTTCGTTCCCGCTCGTGTCTGGGAAACGCCGCTTGCACATAATTCCGTTTTATAATAATTGAATCACTACGATTTAATATAAACTATTGAATTGTGAAGGTTTATATATATAGATAGTGTGTGTGATTCAAGTGATTCAAGGTGTATATACACTAATTACCGCCGCGCGTGTTGTGTGTGTGATCGGTTCATCGATCATCATCATCGTCGATCATTGATTCCTGCACCAAGACGCCATAGCAGAAGGCCAGGTACGCTCGTAACTCCTTACTTTGCCCGTGATCTGTGATGACAGTCTTGTTGAAGGAAGATATCTCTCAGGATACATATCCCTAGGGAACCGCTTTTACAATTACATAAAATACTAGTATTAAATAGATAAAAGCGGAAAAGTGAACGAGTATGCGTCTGAATGATGTAGTTGGGTACTGAATATTATAATTGTGACTGTTGTGGATGCTCATATATTTTATTCGCATATATACGTGACGGTTACCACTTACCATCAGTTTGTTGCTATTCCAATAACATAAAATATAGCACGTAGGTTAGCATATTTATATAGATTCCTGTTAAATAAAATTGATACATTAAGGTGGTAATTTTATTTATTAACATCATAAATACTTTGTAATGTTTGCAAAACGACACTAAAATCAGAGTATTTGCACAAGACAAGTTATGAGAGTGAAAAAAGTAAGATTCGTGTAAATAGATGCTAATAATAAGATTTTTCTTTTTAAATGTGTCTGTTGTGGAGACAGATCTAATTATATATTTTTTATTTCTACTGCAAAAGAAAACCAGCGTAGAAATAGATATAACGACAGCATGCAGTTTTATGCGTTCGTGGCAACGTACGTCTGATGAAAATGAAATATATTTAACATTTTATAATACCGTCCCATTTTAAAAGCTTTAAATGTAAGCGGATCTGAAACAATGCTGACTCTTTTACACCTCTGAAAATCTAATCCAAAAAAATCCAAAGCGACGTGTGAATACGGATGACAGTTTGTGTTCTCAAATGGGAAACGGGAATTTATTTTCAACCGACTTTATAAAGGAGGTTCTTCAACTGCCGTCTATAACATATATCCAAGAATATTTAATTTTGTACATTCAGTTTGTTAAGTTTTTTTCCATTTATCTTATTACTTTTTATCTTACGTAGGTGGCAAACAAGAATACGGAGATCTGGTGGTAAACGGTTACTGAAGGCTATGGACGTCTGAAACACCAGGGGTGTCACGTGCGTGTTGTTGTAAGAAACCTTAATATACCCTCTTGTAACATCCTCATGCTATACTCTCTCGAGAAAACTTCGGTAGGTAGTACATTCCACAATTTAAGTATATGCAAAAGGAAGTTCCTTTGAAACCGTACAGTCCGAGATCATTTAGGTTCTAGCATTTGGGCCTGAATTCCCTGTCGATGGCGAGTGGAATGCAAAGGTTAATGGCAGCTTTGCGAATCATCATAATTTCATCACAAATACCTACTTCAATAACTTGTTGTTTACCGCAGGATTTTTAATACTTTATTATGGTTTTCGTCCGATTTTCCCCTTCGTAATTTGTAATCCAATTTCAAAGTTGTTGAGCTATCTCCAAGTGTGTGAGTTTGTTTTAGAAATTATTTTAAAATGTAATTACTGTGCACACAATCCTTTAAAGAAGTGAACGATGCGATGTTCGTGCATGCGGGTGCCGTGTAAATAATTTTCAATTTATTCAAATAGGTACAAGAGAAGGGGAGCAAATCTTGTTACGTCCCGTTTCTATCTGCATTCTTTTTAAAGGCTTGTAGTAGACGGGAAGCGAAATGTTGTACCAAAGATGTCTGTCTGTTATATACGTTAACATTGTGTAAAATCTTGAGTAGACGAAAAAACTATATTGGTATTTCTTTCGTCTACTCAACATATTGCACAAATTACGTATTGATTACTCTATTATGTAAAACAATAAGTCATCAGCATCATCAAATCATCACATCATCACGAAATGCTATGAATCTTTCGTCTGCAAGAATGCTATCGCAAGAAGACACTACGGGCTCCATACCTGATTTATTTTGTAATGTCATAGACAACGTTTACTATATTATTAGATAATCCGTAAGCTTATTTGGGATTCCAGTTAAGTACATATGAAAATATAATATAAAATAAATATATAAAATGCTTAGTACCAGCATTCAGAGCATTGAGGATTACTTGGACTTGTAAATAAGATCAGTATCCGTTATATCAACTCTTTCGATTCAATTTAATTGAACCGAAAGAGTTAACTCCGTATCGTGAGTTATCAAAATATCACGTTTAGTGTGGATTAAAGATATTCACCTTAACCTTTTACGATATTTTAGATATATACGATATTTTATGTATATATGTATACGTTGTTTACCTAAAGAAACTTTAGTTCTTCGAATGTAGTAGCAACGAAATCTCTATGTTCATGCAGACTTTAAATAAATTTCTGGTTTTAATATTCGTTCGAGATATCTATGGAACACAATTGCTTTCTTTAAAACTTTATTATATATATGTTTATAACCACAAAGATTGAATCACACAAGCTCTGGAATACTAAGATACTAAGATTTGGATTGTGCGTGGAGCGGAATAGAACTCGGGACCATCATTTGCCAATGCAGTATAATTATATATAATAATTGGTATAATATTAACAAACATGGAAAGATCATAATTATATAAATGAACACATAGCTAATTACATTGGTCCTAAAGTGACAGCATGAAGTTGTTATGAAAACAAACCTCGATTTTACATTATACATAGTTCGTTATAATAAGTAAAATATTGTATTAACCGTAACTGGCTAATCTAATTTTAGAAAAGCATTATTATCACCGTTCACTAATTGCTAATTGAAGCCGCCGAAAAGTATTTTTTCCAAAGTATGGGCCCAAAAGTAAATTAGTGGAGGGTCTAATGACAATGGCGGATTTGCCCTGGTTCTTTAACGTAATACCCTTAATTGGATTGTTCTTGTCAAATTTCAATTTTGATGCCATCGTCCGCCCACGAAAAAATAATTTCGCAGCTTTTCTATTAAATTATTGGAGAGAGTATTTACTCGTATTTCAGTGGTTTTCACAATTGTTCTTAATTTGAATGTGAGGTTAGTATGTCATTTGTTTTTTTACAAGCTTTTTATGTCTCTTTATTGGTTTCTTTTTCGAGGAATTTGTAATCCATATTAAATGTATCGACTAGACTATAATGTTTGTTTATATATACCGTCAAATTAATTTATAATCGTTTTGTTAAAGGTCATCCGTATTATTATCTTAATCAAAATTTTAGTATATGCCTTTTTTCCATATTGTGGATAAAAGAAGAAAGGAGCAGAAAATTATTTTAAAAATTAATATTTATATTTAAATATCATCTTTACTGCATTTTATTAATATAGATAATTGGGTCTTAACACGCATAATCTAGGTTGCTCTAACCAAACATGATCACGAGCTGACAGTAGTGCAGCGATGTCCATATCAATAGGTGCAGTTTGTTCAACTTGTCACGAAATTGTCCAACGAAAGATCGCAACACACAGCACAGGGTATCTCTACATTTATGAACTGGTGCACTTTGCTTAAACTTATTTATTACTGGATTTCCTGTAGATAATAATATTAAGCTGTCTTCCCAGTTAAAATTAAGTCACTTTTAAATTTATGTCGTCCCTCTTACCATTGCTGGATGTATGGTCAGAGTTTTTGATAAAAAAGAAAGATTTATCTACCTAGAGGTTGTAGAATCATATTAACATATTAGGTAAGCCATATGTTTGTGATTGGTATATGGAGAGACGAAAATTAGACCTTTATTTATCTTAAAATCATTCATATTAAGACTCGATTATCTATATTAAAGAAAAATGAATATTTAGTAAATAATAACTTTAGGTAAAATAGAACAATGAAATTTAATTTAAGAGCTTTTAAAATATCAATTTAAAGTTAAAACAAGTATTTTTAAACCATATAAACTAAAGATCTTTAGATTTTTTAAACAATAATAATGCAATAAGAAAACCATATATTAAAAATAATACTGTGTAAAAGCGTATAATATATTATTATAAATATTTAACTACCATGTGGGCACATTTCGTCCTTTCTCTCTTTTTGTGTCCCATATGGCAGAGGACAAGCTTGAAATATTTTCATAAATAAATTTGTTTATATTAATTATTAACGGAGTTCATCGGACTGTAGGATTTAAAAAAAGATAGACTAAAAAACAAAAGTTAGTAAAGAAAAACAAATATACGGTATTTG